TCCAATAACATATGCACGTCTGATCGACAGTTTAGCAGCAGTTCATGTAATGATAGTATAGATAATTACAAATGACTGTTCATGTAAAGATAGTGATCTTTATCGCAATGTCAACCAATTTACTAAGTTTTCGGTAGGCGACAAAAAGCTGATTAATAAATTTTTGTTCAGTAAGTGTTGGTAACAAAAAGTCTAATAGGCTAGCGGCCATTAAAGTGTTAAAAACAAAATATATATATATATAATGATTGTTTCAAATAAAGTTTCTTTAAAATAAAATTTGAAATCTTTTTGGTTTAAAACTTCAATTTTGATGTCTGAGTCAAACAAAGCCATTTCAAGTAAAATAGATTTATACTCAATATCCGGTTTTCTAGAGTTAAATATTAAATACATCTATTATTTTCAACTTCTAATGATCTTTTATTTTTGAGTCATCGATTTTCAAAATATCACGCCAATGTGCCGTCCGTTTGATTTAGGAAATGGACGTATGTGGCTTGCGAAGGATAAAGTTTGAGTATTACTGATTTAAGAGATATTATCCTTACACTTCTTCACTCTGTTGTATCATATTATTTTTCTTTTCTTTACGAATAAACAAACGAGGAGGAGCATCTCAGCCGAAGAATCTACCGAGCGAGTAAACATTTGCGATATATTAGTGGTGCGACCTAAAGAGTCGGTGAAATCGTAGATATATGAAAGGCAATATGGATTTAGCGCGTATGCACGAATACCTTTCATAATTGTTTGCACGGGCAACATTGCGCACTTGATCAAAAGCTGCAATCTTCAGGTTGTTCGAATGATTTTTGTAGGGATCTTTTTCTAACGAAATATTTCTCACAAATATTTTTGCTATTAAAAGAAAAGAAAAGTAATCATATTATAAAAAAGAATAAAAATATTTAATTGTATTAATCGTAGAAGTTTCAAATTATTTTCTAAATATTTGAAGAATTTTTCTGCGTCGCTGTTTAATTCTCAAGAAAATTATGTAACTTTCAAGTCATACATGCCCAAGTATATATATATATTTTCAAAAATTAAATCTCTTTTAATAAATTAAATAATTATTTATTAGTTTATATATGAGATTTTAAAAATATTTTTTTAAGTATAATAATACTATTTTATATTATTAAGTATAGTAATATTAATATATATTATTAAAATAGTTTAAGAACAAAAAATTATTTGCATAAGAGTTATGTAATTTCAACAGAGCAAATTTTAATTGGAAAATTTCGAGGTAACGATTTCGATCAATAGAACATTTATTTATACCGATCCTAAAATAGTATTGGATTGAAGAAAATTAAACGTAGCAATGCTATTAATAAAGCATACGTCCTTAATTATAACTTTGTAGTCCTTTTGTAAGAAAGTTCTGAGTTTGACTAACAATAAGGTCTCGTTTTTTACATCGATTTAATATTCTTTTAAGCGAAGCTCTATTTAACTCGTGGATATTATATATGACAGACGTTATCGTTGGTTTACTACAAACAAAATGTCATGCTCTTTCTCATTCTCTTTTTCTTTGATAAAGTAGAACATCGTAGCTTTTATCCCACAAGTGAAACTCATAGTTTGGTTAATAACGAGTATTTCATGGACTATCCTTTTCTTCTTTGACCAAGATCTATATAAATATAAAGGGCTAAAAATATGATACTTTATTTGTAAGCTAGATCTGATAAAATCGCTTATGTATTTATGTATGTATGTAGGTGTGCATATTCTAACACCGTTTATACTCATTCGTAAGTTTAATTTCAACGTATCTATGATATATGTTACCAAATGATAATCTTTGAGCAGGATTTCTTTTTTATAACGAGAACATTCTTTTAAATTTATTTCACGTATATATGATATTCAATAAAAAAGTTGTTTTTTAATTGATTGTTTCAATAATATAGATGAACATCGCATGAATATCGTACAATGGATTAAAGTACAACTAAATGTGTAAAGAAAATTGCTTATTAATATTACGATGAAAGAGATTTTTTTTTCTTTTATTTATTTCTTTTTTTGAAAAGAAATTTCACTTATTTCACGCACGTTTAATCTTAACGTAATTTTGAATATGTTTTTAATCTCACTTATTGTTAGATATATCTATGTATTTTGTATGTAGGTATTATCAATCATCGAAAATTAAGTGACACGTTACAGGGAATCCATGTTAGTGATCTGAGGTATATACGACGTACGTACATATATGGAGAAATAAATCGTTGAAAATATCTGCTTACGACAAACCATCAATTATCGAGTGGGTTTCGATGACAAGTATTATTTATGATCGTTTTTATACTTTTTTATAATATACGATTGGAATGAAAAATTAACGAAATCGGAGTATTTCTGTAGTTTTCGTAAAATGCATTGTTTTCTTTCTTTTTTTTTAAGTTGTTTACGATGGGGAAAAGAAATAATTTGGTTCAAAGAAATTCGATCTATTTTATTCGTTCTTAAGTGCTTCAGAACAATCCCAATTTTTTTTATCCTTTTTCTTGGATTTATTTCGTTTAGTTTACAAAACTTGTAGTCTGGGTGGAGGATGGTATATAAGTGGATCGTAAATGTACGATATCACATGTATTATGCTATTCGATTGACGTACGTGAAATATTGAAATATATCAAATTTATAACTTTATACGACAAATAATAACGAAGAAAAACGAAAAACGAACAATAGCCATGCATCTTTTTCTTTCTTTTTTTTTTTTTATACTTCGAACCATGTTCCAATATTATTTTTGTCCAATATTTTGAGTCAACCAAGAAATATTTTAGATCGCAAAAGTATTTGCATATTTATTACAAACTTAAGATAGTTCGATCCCACCGTTCCCCCATTTTCTTTATTTTTTATTAGGTTTGATTTGTACTAACAATTTTTAACAGAAAATTGTTAAAAATTTTACTATATAATAAAAAATAAAAAAAACAATACAAAGGAAAGGTGAAATAAAAATGGATAAAAATTGTTCCAACGTTTACGAAACTCATGGGAGTTTATTGCTCTATTATGTTTATATATGATCGAACTAGATATATTAATAGAATTGATTTACAGCAGTATCTTTTCTATTTCGAACAAGATTCCCTATTATAAGTTATAGACATCGTTGTGTTTTTGCAAGTTTATGCTTAAAGTGCGATATTTTGTTTCAGAGCCAAGAAATTTCGTGAACTAGCAACGTGTAAGTGTACCATGATTATATATAATGTAATATGCATATACATATAATGTTGTGTAGGTTGTTGTAGTACAATAGTGAAAATTTATGACCGTATGTTATTCTATCGAGTTAAATTGATTTGGGTATTTAAAATCGTCGTTTTTGAAAGACAGTTGTAAAAAGTAAAAAAAAGGTCATTGAAATTTAGTCGTTACATTTGTAACATGTTGTATCGGAAATACATCAAAGATATTTCGCTTACAAGATCGTTCTGTAAATCGGATTTAATTAAAAGATTTAATTAGAATTAAATTTGAAGAAGTAAAATATTATTAAAAACTTCTAAATAAATTTCTAAAATGATTATTTGTTAAAGAATATTGTTTAAAATTCTTCTCGGTCATAGAGTTAATTAATTTTAATGAGATTAATAAGATTATTAATCGAACATAGAAATTGTTGCACGAACGTTCGTAACATATATACGTATAAATACGTTATAATCTCCCAAAGTAGATTTTATGTTTACTTGAATGATTTGTTGTTTGAAATTAGACAATTAGCAATAATAGGTAATATATTTATTGAATTTACATTAAAATTACCTCTCTCTATCTTTCCTATAGGATATCTCTTTAAACAATACAAGTAATGGAGACAAAGTACAATTTTAAAAATAAAGATTTCTGGATTTCGTTTTCTTATTTACACGCTAATTTATATCGATGTTTATTTCGAACCGATCGTCTGTTGGTACACGAGTTGCAAAAAAACTCGGTCGAACTAATATTTCTATCTCGTTTAATTGTACCTATAGCGTTGGACAAAAATGTTTATACCATTTTATTAGTAGGTGTCGATATATCTAGTAAATGTTATCGTTAAATTTGTTTTTAGAAGAAGGAGCTTCGTTAAATTCATCTCGAACTTTCAAAGAAATACATTCACTCATATCTGATAGTAGTATCGCGTTAATGGTCATTAAATTATTTCTTTTTTTCTATTACTTACAAAAAAATGTAAGTAACATCATAAAATCAATTAATTTTAGATTAAAAAAAGAAAAAATTTACATATCGTACGAACAGAATGAAACAATGATCGAACGATGAGATTGAAGTATTTAATTTCTTGTAGTAGAAAGCAGAATAACTAAAATAATTATATGACAATCGTGATAATAAATTGTAGTTAAAGTTTAGTAAAAAATAATATTAGCGATTCGACCCGATTTTTCAATATTTATTTTATGCTATTGTTGTAACAAATTATTAATTTACGAATAGATAGATAGATCCTACGTAACGCCGAATATTTTATCGATCGAAAGTTAAAAAATATTTAATTGGAATATTATTCACAATGGAGACAATTTATTTAACAGAAATTGGTTGGTATTTCGTTTGGAATTCACATAATTGTCCTTCGGCTCACACGAATGCATTTTACATGTTTGAAGTTTCTCGTTAATTATTTGCATATTCTCGAACGAACCACGATGCCTCACTTCTGTCCGATGTTGTCAGGATATTTCTTTTACATATCGAGTCTATTGTGAACCAAACTAGGCAGATATTTTTTTCAAAACAATAGCTTCCAATCCAAGCTTCAATAAATCAAACGAAATTTTTTTTTTACGAGATAATATTATTATCGAGGATTCGATTTTTCGCAAATATTTTTTTTTATAATTTCCCGAGAGAAGAATTTTTCTTTCTATCCATAATAATAAAAATATCGCGAAATCCTATTATAGATTACAAGGATAATATAGGATAATTATTTCATTAACACTCACCCAGTAACTTTTTTTCTGATAATCGATAGACCTTGTCACCGATGAAGATTCACTTTTCCTTGTTCGATTTTCAATACGTTAATAATTAAATTTTTGGATCGATGACGGACGATAATAGCGAAGACGACGACAGGTGTCTGACACGAAAATACATTTTGTTTAAATCAAATTTAATGTATCTCCGAAAAAACAAATAACACCTTCCTTCGCATTTTTATCGATCGTTTCGAAAAATCGATAAATTATTTGACGATTATTGAAACAAAAGCCTTTGTCTTTCCATTGAGGGTGGATCGAGAAATTGTCGAAAAATCTTTTTATTAGATGCATCGTTCATGTTGTTTACAGTAAACTATCCTCGATCCTAAAATAATTTGTAAATATCTCGATCTTTGATCTCTCGCGTTCTTCTTATTGTCTTTCCTTGATGTCTATCTTTAACACACAAACTTCGTGCTTTATATAAAAACGTTAAACCTCTTAAGAATTCTTTTTATCTCGCATCTTTCCTAAGAGAAAAAAAATGGATTCTTTTATACACACAGTTAAACACTTATGCAGCACAGAAAATCCTTCCGCATTATCTTATCACTGTGGATTTTCGTTTTACTAATTTAAATTATTCTTGATAAGAGAAATCAAAAAATTTATCTCACATTTGAAAATAAAAATGATAGAAAAGAAATAGAATTATAAGGATAGATAAGGAAAGAGAGAAAAAAGGAGAGAGAAAGAGAGAGAAAAAATAAAAAAGAACAAAATAAAATAAAGAGAGCGCGAGGGCAAGAGAGAAATACAGAGAAACGAAGAGAGTTATTTCTCGTGCACGTTTTACACACGTGCTCGTTCGTCGAAGCGTCGCAAGCAAGTGGAGCTCGTTTAGTGCGGACTACCGTCTCCAGGACGATAACCAGAGTAGTGGGAAGTGTGTACCAGGTGGGGGAGGGTAGGGGGTGTCAAACAGTAGGGAAAAATAATCTCGATTTAATATGTTTGTTTCTGTCAAAAAAAAATACATTCTATGTAAATAAATCAGTAGTATTAATGCTTTTGTTTTCTTTTTCTCTATCCATTTATATTTAAAAATATATCATATATAAATATACTGAAAGATTGTTTAATATAATATAAATATAAAAAATATAATAAAAACAAAATTATATATAATATATTTATAATTTTTAAATTAATTTTTTTTATTATATTTAGCTTGTTTTTTTCTTTTTGCATTTAAAAGACAGATTCGTTTATGAACACACGAAATGGGACATAAATAGGGTCGGTTAATCGTTAAGAATACTTTCGAAAGGCAACGACGAAGTAATGTCATGTACTTCGACATTTTCGATGTTAATTATTTGTATCGATACTGTCTGCCAATTTCACACCTTTACAGCCTTTTTTGCGATGCGAAAAATCAGAGTGCAAGCGGTCATTTAGCATCCTCCTCCTGATTTTATTTGTAATTGTTGTCGCGTACTACGAGTCAAAAATAGAACTTAAAAAGATGCGTTTCTCTACCGGTATAAAAGAAAAATGAATTTTTTTACCTTCTTGTGACGAAAAAGAAGGATCCGTGAGCGTACGTAAACTCGCGTGAAATTATTATTGAAGCAAAAATTATTTTTGCGGCAAGCTTTACAAAACGAATTTTGTTTTTCTTTTTTTTCTGGTACTATAATTTAATACGCAGCTACTAAAAAATCCTTTCTTTACAATCTTAGACACTTCGTTGCCAGTGACGTAAGATCCGGAAAACGCATGTGACTTTACTTTAGTTATTACTAGTTGAACGCGTGAGTCGATATTTTTGTAAATAGTGACTCTCTCTTCTCTTATTTTCCACAAATTATACTATTTTATGAAATACTTGAGATACATTTTATTATACTTTAACTATTTTATAAATTCTCTTTTTCTCTTTTATCTTTTTTGTTGTTGTTATTATGATTAAAAAGGGAAAAAAAATATGTAGGAACGAGAATTAATGAAATTAATATTTAATTAAATGTAAACGAATGTTTTTTTTCTATATCTTCGTTGGAGTTAAATAAATATTGTAGAATTTATTATAACAAATAATTTTCGCTTTAGTTTATTTGATATTGATTTTGTTTCGTATACAGAATATGATATACGAAGAAAAATTTATTCATCGAAGAAAAATAAATAAATTTTTCATCGTAAGCAATTATATTAAATTTAATCTTTGATTTTATAGAAAATACAATTACACGCAATATGAGATAGTGTTGCATTTAATTAATTTGTTCTCCATGTAAACGTAAAAGACAGAATATTTTAATAAGAAAGATTATTTTGTTATCAATATCATTTTTTCATTTTAATTGATACTATATTTTTTTATTCGTAGAAGAGAAATGAATATAAATAGAATATTGGAATAAATAATCCTCCTTCCTTGTCAATAGAAAAAAGTTTCATTATAGCATTGCAAAATAAATGCGAACTTCTTCGATGTATGTTGGATTGCAGTTCTACAGGTGTTCGAAGTATTCAGTTGTGATTACAAATAGTTGTAAAAAAGAAACAAAAAACCATTAAACGAAATTGCTGTGGTGATCGAAATATCATGCATGTACAAATTGTTCATAGACGATTGAATATTATTTTGATATATTTTTATTCTCGTTTTTTTCTGTCCATCTACATTTGTTCTTCTTTCTTTTTCTTCTTATTTCTTTTACTCGTCCGATCTTTTTTTCGTGAAACGTATACGAAAGTTGATATTTCTTAGTAAAATGTTTGCTGAGATGACACTCTTATCCTAGCTTTTATCTTTTCTCATTGAATAGTCAAGTCGAGTTTGACTACAAAGCGAATTTACGATATCTTGCATATATTATTTCTAATTTTTTCAATAAGAAAACACAAAGTTTTATATTCGAAAATTTGAAATTGATGACGTTTAAGCTTCATTTATTATCAATTAGCATGGAGTAACAAAACAATAATATGTTAATGTTAAACAAAAGGCCATTTATACTGTTTAATTTTGACTATTTAATTCGTAATTAATATGACAAGTTAATCGATGAAGCTTATCAATTAATTTCGCTTCCATATTCATGCAATCTATCCAAATTTTCGGTTCATCGATGATATTGATCATTCATTCATGTGTACAATAATTAATGCGTCCAGATATGATGTTTCGAGAGTTTGCCAATCATTGCAATGGTAACAAGAATTCTTTCAAGTTAACAAAATAATGTTTGACTTATGAAAAGAAAAGAACAAAAGAGCTAACATGTCACGCCCAAAGACCTGTTTCTTTTTCTCCGTTATCTATTAAAACATATAGAAAGCGATCTTTCGTAATTTCTCGAGCGTAAATCTAATTAGTGTTTATCGGAAGGATTAATAATATGGCACGTACCATTACAATCATACATTAGAATCAATAAAATAAGGGTTTCGAGATCATCAATATTCATATTTATATTCATATCTATGTCTGAAGGTCGATTAAAATGTTATTAAGGCTCAAAACGATATCAACAGTTGATTGAAACATAAAATGTTTGAATTATAGTTCTGTGGTATTAAACATTACTTCGGAAGTTGAATGATTTATGCAATTTTTTATTTAAACCCTTTGCAACGTTCTTAAATATTTTGTTTGAAATTTATTTTAACTAAGGCAATTTTTAATCAGTTTGATAAGTAAAAATGTCTAGTAGGACTAGAAAAATGAGCACCCGAAATAAAAACTAATATCAAGTATCACTCAACACATGGGAGTGCAAAAGGTTAATACAAGCAATCGATAGTACGTCGAAAAAACATTAACCTAGGGGATACAATAACAATTAAAGTTTGAAACAAGCTATTTTCCATACGATGCATAATGTATCTTATTGATATTCCAAAACTTATTCATTCGAGTATAAGAGAAAGAGAGAGAGAAAGAGAAATAAATTCGATTTTCGATAGAATGATTTTACGCATAGTAGATAATACAATAAAAGTTAAATTATTTATAAAATAATATAAGATGGAATAATATTATAAAATAAATTTGATTTTTATATTCCGTAGAATAAAATGAATGAACGAACGAATAACAATAAATATTTGTATATGTTGTTGAAATAAAATGTGAAAAAACTTCTCTCACGTGAGACTGACATAACGAATGAAAAATGGCGATATAATCGAAACGTAAACTCATCTTTCGTTAAGAAAGATCTTGAACTACTTGCAAGAAGTTGATACGACTTGACGAACATGACGGGAGACCAATTTCGCGTCCTCCGTTTCATCGCTGACGAAGTCAAAACTGAAGGATATAACTACGTTTAACTTACGTATGTATTGTGTATATATATACGTGTATGCATAGGACTCAGTTATGCGGTTAATGTGTGCACTTAAACGCATAAATGCGTAGACAGGAGGAAGGAAACGTCAGCGTAACTCCATTTCCCACAGGTAGACGTACCTCCACGCCTCTTAACAGGCGTGTCGCGTGGAAAGCCAAGCGATTCTCAGTCTGCGGCCTTGTCAACGGCGGCTCCTTGCTTCAGATCCAACTTCAAACACGTACTCCATGTATTTCCGTTCGGAAAAAAGGAGTCCAAGGGAGGGGAGTTTATGGTTAAAACACATATATAGACGGATCATCGCAATGTCATCCGTGCAGTTCGTTCCGACGGGTCACGTTTTTCCTAGTCTTCTTTACTTCAAATTCAACCCTTTTTTTGTTCTTCTTCTTCTTATAAAATGAAGTTATTTTTACTCGTAAGTCCTTTTTTTATTAATTGTATTTATTTATTTAACATGTACTATCAAGAGTTAGCTGTCATACAAAATATTTTGAGGAAAAAAATAAATGGATTTAGGTCACTTTAAAAATAGACGGCTCAAATATTTGTGGTATTTTTTTATTAAATCGTTTTTTTTTAATTTCATGATTCTATATGTTGTGATTTAAAATCGTTCTAGTGAGTAATCAAATTTTATTTGAAAAGTAATATAATTTAGTTGAAAAAGGAATATACAATGAATAGTCGAAGAATCCGATTCGTTGATGGGTGTAATTTTATCGATTTCATCGAGATTTCATCGATTTTGAATCCTCGTATTTTTTTTTTAACATCCGTTTTCGTTAAAAAAAAGAATTAATTTAAACGAAGTTTTCTCGTAATTTCATTAAAATTTAAAAGAATAATGCTCGATTCGGGAGCGAGATTAAAACGCCTTAATTATTATGATTAGATTAAAGATGATTACATTTTCGTGATGATTAAAGTTTCGATATATCGTTTGTGTTAGACTCGCGAAAGAGAATAATTTGCTAAGGGATAAAAGAAAGGCCATTAATCTTACGAACCATCAAATAATTTTAGTATAATAGCAGGGATATTGTTCTATATATTAAATTGAATTTAGCTATGATCTCATTGTTTTTCATAATACTTTCAATCGTACTTAGGGGTTTAGAAAATCGAGCAAAAAAATAAATTGATAATTATTACGTTAAACATTGCATTGATAAAATTATCTTCGAAGTTACGTATATGTGTAAAGTGTGCCAGAAAAAAAAGAAGAATTAATTCATTATCTAAAAAAATAAACATCTCTTAAACTAATATTTGTCATATCTAAAATAGAAAGTGGCCAGTTGTAGATAACTTACTCTTTAACGATTTGCTGATAGATAATATATAATTTTATCTAGATAAAATAATTATTTCCTTTTTTTTCCAATGTATGTATTATTGGTTTTACATATAATTAATTTATATTAATTTATATATTCAGTTTCTGTGAAAAAAGCATCGTAAAGAAAGTTTCTCAAATTCATAAAAGGAAAAATGATAAAGGCAATATTAATTTAAATATTAATAGAAAAAAACAATTTTACAAATTTATTCTAATTTAGATTAATTTCTCCTCAAAGTCATTTTACAAATTATTCGCGTGCTAGGGATTATTATCGTATCTTCTTTTTGTATCTTACCGTTGAAAATTGTTGTACGTGTATTATTGTGTCGGTGCTTGACACTGATGGCACATAGGTACGTAATAAACAAGGTAATTACATTTCATTTTTGTTCTCTTGTCAAGAAAGATATACATATATATCATATATGTATATATGTGTACATACAAGTAATAGCGTGCAATTGTGATTACTTGTGGGTTCACGATACGTTATTTGATTGTCTTATATTATTCTAAAATTTCAATTAATTATCTTCGTATTTATAGGTAATATATCTTGCTGGATTGATCGTGTTATGTAGCAGTGCTATAGAATTTTCGAATCCAAAGTTATCGACAAAACTTTCTCCCGTAAATGATGCGAGTGCTACGAAGGACTTGGACACAGCAGCAAGTGATCGGAGTAAGCTATGTATATTATAATATAATATTATATCTTATTCATATTTCATCAGTTGTATCACGTCATTATATTCATTGTATCTGTGAATGGAATTTTATTATGATTTATAGAAAAATTGAAAGGAAATGTAGTAATTTATTTATTAATTTATTTCTTCCATATATGTAAAATATTCTTCTCATGTCAGTAATATAATTAATTAAAAGGATAATATTACCAGCTCTAGATTATATTATACCAATATTGATAAAAGGATTGCTATATGGACTAAAGTATATACTAGGAAAATCCTTTGAAATCGAATGAATCATTGCACGCTTGTCGATGATTTAATTCTATGATTAGACAAATGAGCGAACTGAAAGCGTCCATTAGATTTGCGCATAATGTTACCTACCAGAAGACCTTCGACAAGCACGTTACATTAGCATCCCATTATCTAGAATATACAGCATTTTTTTATTTACGATAATAACCGTTCGACGTCTTGGAGCGTGAGAACGTTAACGACACAAATCTTTAACATTCACATTGCAAACATATTTTTATGTACATATACGAGTATATTTTAACAATAGCACAAGTTCATTTTACTCATCCAAGTTCGCACGATTGAATGTTACCGGTTAATGGTCTTAACCTTTTGTTTAATGATATTGTGCGAAACTAATGATATGTTTTACGAGTCAGACATATAAATAAAATATATATTAGATATACATCAGATGTAATATATGGGATCATAGTTCTATTTTTGTTCAAATGCATTTACTTTACATCGAACATTTTTCTTTATAATCGTTGTTAGGTTATTAACGAATTAAACTTTTATTTTAAAATTAGCACCGAAGATTTTACGAAGAACTTTGTTTTAGAAAACACTAAATTTCTTTTCGTCCCATAACGTAAGCTACCACGTTTTGCTACCATAGAGGACTACTGGTAGGATGATTGTCCTGTATATCCTGATTTTTAAACGCCTAGACAGCAATTGCGCGAGCAGAGTAATTTATTGACCGAATAAAAGCATACATTGCCTAAATTGATTCTTTTTTTAAGTTCTTCATTAATTTCGTTCATCTGGTTTATGATCGATCCTAAATACCCAAAGTTGCTGACCCATTCAAAAATTTTATCCCGAACGACCAAAGTTCCAGTATTAGGCATATTCTGAATTCTATCGGTGACCATATATTTGGTTTTTTCCACGCTTATTAATGCTTTTAAAAAAGCATTAATTAATACGGTAATTATTTATATGAAATTAATACTGATATCCTTGATGATGTTAATGAAAGTAAAGATACATTATTTTTTATAAGAAAACGTGTCGAACGATGAATTATTAAAGATGATAACGAAGATGATGACAATACGAGTCATCGATTATCTTATACAATTCCGTATATATGATCTAAAAACATAGACGGATTTCTGCCACAAAAATAATATTAAATACGAGTTTTAGTAAGTTAGATGTTTTCTATGAAATATTCGATAATATATTTTAGAAAATTGTTCGTCACTGTAATGAATCATTATGTGGGTCAAATTATAAACGATTAAATAGGAAAAGAAAAAACTCTATATGATTTGAATACTCATAAAGACTTTTAACGAGTTTGCTTTGAATATTCGGTGCGATATGATTTTCTCACTGATTATGAGTATGGCATGTATCGTCGCGAATTAAATTAAAATATTCAGAGAAAAGGAATTTATCATGAAATTCTTTAATTCTTTTAAATATTCTGTAAAAATAAGTATCTTTCATAATTTATACGTTGCTTATTGCCAAATGATTATCTTTAGTATGTACTTACTTTGATTGCAGCGTTTTTAATTGGTAAAGAGTATAGTCAGCCAGGATATGGAGGATACGGAAATTACCCTGGATCTATATACGGACCAGGATATCGTGGTACAAGTGTAACACCAGGATATAGAGGTTATCCAATTGGTAGCCCAGGGGGTATAATTGGTGGTGGACACACTGGGTAAGCATAGGAAAAACGTGCATACTTCTTATAATTATTTAATTAATTTTTTCATTCGCGTTTCCTGTTTATACGTAAATTAATGGTTTTTTCTTAATTAATATAGCCCAAGTTGAGAATATGTTTATTTTTAGATATGGCTATTACGGGAATAGTGGATATAATCCTTATTATAATTATGGTGGATATGGTGGATACGGTGGATATGGTAGTTCCGGTGGATATGGTGGATATGGAAGTATTGGTGGGTATGGAACTTTAGGAATTGGAGGTTATGATGATTCTTATCTTGGATATGCTGGTAATGGTCGTTACGGTGGTCAAGGTCTTGATGGATATGGAGGTTACGGCTCCAGTGGTTATGGTGGATCTTATGGTTCTACATATGGAATTAGAAACAATTATGATCCTTATGGTTATCGTAGTAACAATTACGGTAGTTATGCTGGTTACCCTTCCGGATATCGAGGTTACTCTTAAAAAATTTATGAATTTAATATATAATATATGTAAAACTAATACACACACATAAAATTGTTAGTTATTTTTTATATGTATTTTATAACACTCTAATGATATTAAAATATTAAAAGCCCTTCTTTATCATGATAATGTTCCTTATATTTGAATAGTAATTACATACTTAATTAACAAACGATTCAGGTAAATATTAACACGAAATACAAATAAGAAATGAGAAATATTTAATAAAAAGAAATAAAAGTATTAGCGACGATAACACAATAATTATGTCATAATATCAAATGTAATATATTTGTACTTAATAAATATGTTGTATCTAATTGTGCAATTTTCATACAGATATCAATTCAATAAAAACATCTTTTTGTATATAAATAACTAAATCTAAAATTATAAATAACGTTGCTTCATACGCATATATGTATATTAATTAATGTTTGTTTATCAACATGCATTTGCATACATGTTTAAAAATATAGTCAAGCGCATTGATACATGTATGACTGAAGTTGTATATGGCCTGTGGAATAACTTCATTATCGTGTATTTTTTAAAAACATGAACAAAGTACCTCGTAAATGAAAATATGTATTTAAGCATTCTATTCATTAGATAGGATTGTGTTTCAAAATATTTAAAGTAAAAAGTAATTGCAAAAAAAAAATGGTCACTCTGACAAAAATATTAATCTACAAACGGCTTATATGTTTCTTGATGTTCCATGCACAAACAATCATAGTTAGTCGTTGAATGTATAAATATGTACATGAGTTGATCAGTCGACATGCATTCTTAAAGATCATGTACATTAGGTCATGTTTAAGTTTCAATACCATCAAATCGATCATTTATAAGCTGACCTGCAGCTGGCAAATGGGCAATTTCAATATCCCATATTTCATTTTTACAGGAGCGAATATTTCTTATCCCCGGTAAAAAAAATATTAATTTTGTATGTTATTATTAGTAGATATAATTTAACTAGATCCTTCAAACTATTTTTCTGCTTCTGATTTTTCTCCTTTCAGGGACGGCTTTAACTGGAACATTTAAAAATCCAAGATTGGCCTGACTCAAAATATCCTTTAAATTTTCGATATTATTAAGCTGATCCAAACCAATAAGCTTTGTTTCGATATTTCCACCTGATGTGTTACATGCGTTGCATGCGTATGGAACGGATGTTGCTGAGGGATACATGAGCTTTATTTTATAATTATTTACTTTGTTATTGGGACAGTACGGTACGAAAATGACAGGGATGAATCCAAGCTGACCAATGAGAGGAGTGGTTGCTGTACTACTAGTAGTATCGTGTTCTTTATACGAATCAACTAAATAACAAGGACAAGCTTGTGGATTTGATTCTACTGATGATGAAAATGATTTAACATTGATTGGATGTGGTGGTTGAACTCCTGTCGCAGTGATACCATGATCCGCTCGTTCTTCTTCGGACGATGTATTTACCTGCTTTATGAATTCAACAGTTCGGTCTTCGGGGGAATCAATATTTTCTCCTGTTTCGTTTTCTTCGTGTTTATCGAATTTCGTATGCACTATAAGTCGACTTCCTTGATGGTCTATTTTATAAGGTTGATTTTGTGGGCCTTTAATAATGTCTTGAAATTCATAAGAATGATTAGCAAGATATTGAAATTCTTTTCGATAGTGTTTCTGATGATTAACAGGTACTTGTTCAAAATTTGCTTCTGGTTCTTCTCCTTGGCTAGTATCCTCTGTTACCTCGTATCGACCATTTTGTTTACTTTCAGTTCTTAATCCGTAAGGCTTAATGTTTGCATCGGTAGTTTCATGTTTTTCTAAATTATCTGTCTGATTTTTTGAGAAAGTATATTTTAGATGATCTGATGTTTTCAATGTATCATGCATTAATGAATTAATTGCTTTTGCATTATGGCTGATATTTTCTTGATAAATATCAAATTCATTAAAATGTTCATACTTCTGCATTTTAAATCTACTGTGATCAATATCAACGATTTCGCTTACTTTGATAGGGGATGAAATTCCTGACAATTCACCGTTATTTATCGCACTGGTAAAATTGGAATTTGATTTTAAAAATGATTTAAAATTCATTTGTTTTGGAAAACCAGTTTCTATCGATAGATTAGTATTCATAGATGTATAAGATTTTGGGCTTAAAATTTTCACAGGATTACGATATCGCGATTGTCCGGGTAGAATTGTACCTGGATAATATTTTGGATCCCCAGGCCAAGGCCCATCAGGTCCTGGAGATCCAGTTGGCCATGGACCATCAGGACCTGGTTCACCTTCACCGCCAACATCTCCAATATCACCTATGTCACCAATAGGTCCTATTGAACCAACAGGGCCCTCGGGACTATTGGGATAAGAAGGATATCCACCTCGAATTGGATGACCTACAAAAATATATAAAAATTTATAAAATTTTACTTTATTTAATTTGAAAATACATATGCGTCATTATGATCTATGTCCAATTAAAATAATCTAATCAAAATTATAAACATAAATGTGGATCCTAATGAATTCAATAAGCCCAGAAACAATGTATAATCTTAGATTTCTAAAATAAGTGTGAAAAATAAATATAATACATACTTGGCCTTCTAAGAAGTGTGTTTTCCAGTTTTTCGGTAAGTTTAAATAAGCCTGTTCTTCTGCTTGTTACCGAAATGCTGGGATAAGTTGATGGATAACTAGGAGTTACAGGATAGTTTGCGTGTGATGGTAATGGTTGTCGATAGTCTGATATATTCTGTTCTTTAAGAGTACCTGATGTGCCAAGATATTCCATATGTTGTTTTCTTCCAGAATCATCAAGGTGTTTAGAAAAGTCTGATTTATTTAGAGAAATCCTTGTTCTGTCGTGCTCATCAGTTCCTATTTTCTTAAAAGGTACAATAGTCTCAGGTATGACTGAATATCCAGAATATGATTCTGCTTTTGATATGCCACGATGTATAGAAGTATCTTGTTCATTTGATATATTAGAAATATCTACTTGATCAGAGTATTCTGGTTTTTGTTGAGTTCTTGATAGGGCAGACTGCCCGGGAGTGTCTAAAGTATTAGTAGTACTTGGTGCAAAAAGTTTTTCATTAGTTCTTACTTTCTGAAAAGGTAGAACAGCTTCAGGTATGATTGAATATCCAGAATATGATTCCATTTTCGATATATCATGGTGTTTAGAARTATCTTGTCCACTTGATATATTAGAAGTTTCTTTTACACTAGAGTATTCAGATTTAGGTTGTATTTTAGATGAGCCAGATTGCTCAGAAATGTGT